GACGAGGATGAAATGAGATAGTATTTAAGAAAATGTCTAGAGTCTACGGCCATGCTACCCTGAACGTGCCTGACCTTGCCTGATCTTGGAAGCTAAGCAGGGTAGGGCTTAGCTAGTTCTTGAATGGGAGAACACCTTAGAATACCAGGTACTGAGGATGGAAGGAAGGAAGGAAGGAAGGAAGGAAGGAAGGAAGAAAGGAAGGAAAGAAGGAAGGAAGGAAGGAAGGAAGGAAGAAAATCACTAGATTGAATGTTCTTGGCGGCCCTGTGCCAAGAGGCAGTTCCCAGGGACCAGGGAAGGATGGGGCCACTCAGTCACAGACACTCTGTGTGACCTTGTACCAGCCCCTCTCCTTCCTGAAGCCCAGATTCCTCCTATGTAAAATGTGGAGAGTTTGGTCAAGCTGTCCTGAGACCCTGGAGCTTTCAGGACCTCTGAAGCTAAATCTGGAACTGGACCTGATGTGGAATCAGAGGGCAAACTATGGGTTGGACAGGCATGTGGAAATGGAATGGTATTGGGAAGATTAACTGCTAGCCAAACAGGAAGGGGAACAGAAGTTATGTCCCAGGCGCCTGACCCACCTCTCCCCATCCACCCACCTACCTGGCAGCCCAAACACCACCCAGCTCAGGGCTGGGCTCATGAACAACAGCAGAATCCCAGGACCAATACTTTGGTCAAGCTGAAGGAACTGGCCAGTGCGGGTCTGTGCCTGGAGCACTGGACTGAGTCTGAGGGCAGCCCCTGGCTTCTTTATTTTTAAGTCACCATTCTTGGAGCACTTAGCAATGTTGTCGGCGGCACCGTGGAAAGCACTTCATTCTTAGAACTAACTTCATCCTCACAGTAGTCCCAGGAGGGGTGGGGACTCCCATTTCACAGATGAGGGAACAGGCTCACAAGTTCTCTTAGTTAGAGAGTGGGGACTCCTCAGGTCCGTCCCATGCCCCAAAGCAGCATCACTGTGCCCAGGGAGCGATGAGAGGACGCACATCCGTCTCACTCCTTTGTCTGGATCCTGTTTGCCAATGGCATTTCCCTCCCGCCTGGTTGGGGGAGTAGAGGGTATGGAAGTGGGAATCCTTTGAGGGGCTGAGGAAGCGTAAGGCAGGCAGTCTCGGGCTCAGAACTCCCCGGGCCCTCGAACCCCAACTCTGCTCTCCCTTCTGGGCGAGGTGAGGGCTGCTCTCTCCCGCGTCTGTTCTCTCGCCTGGGGGTTTCACCTCCGCCAGAAGGAAAGTGTGGGAGAGGGGCGGAGGTGCTACACCACAGCGGGAAGATACCAGCAGCCCTCCTCCCTTCATCTCACAGCTGGGGAAACTGAGGCCCAGAGCGGAAAGCGACCTGCAGAGAAGCCGGCCTGGACCCTGGGGGTTCCGGGCCCCCACCGCAGCGCTCCGCCCCTGCCGGAGGAGTTGAGCGGGTTCCGGCTCCCCGGGGCGTCCCCCAGCGGCTCACCAAGGCGCAGACACATCTCGGCTCCCGCGCGGGGTCTCCGCGGCCGGCTCAGCGGGGC